GCTCTCTAGTGCATCCTATATGAAATTGTCATATAAGTAAAGGTTATGTTCCTGTACTAGCTAGGTAAATCCAATTATAACTTCATATTTTGTTTAAAGAGACTTTGGGGATGCTAACTTTCATATCTGTACAAAGAGCAAATCATATAATTGTGCAGCAGTTTATGTAAGCTATTTTTCAGGATTAACTTTGTGCCATAGGAAAATTTCCCTTTCCGGTAATGATAGCTACTATTTGACATACGCTGATTATGTGCCATGCCCTGGGCTAAGTGCTTAATATACATTATCTCATTTTATCTTGGGATCTTCTCCAGAATTCTATGAGCAAAAAGATAAAATAGTTATCTGCATTATACAGAAGAGGAAATGGGAGTTCTGAGACATGAGCAAATTGTCAAAGATCACAGTTTATAATGGTAGAGAGAAGGCATTCTGAAACTTTTTAATTCTAAACCTGTGCTATGCTGTGATCCCTCTGCTATTAATTTTTGCTTGGTACAAGCCATCAATAAAAATGTAAATATAAAAACAGGACAAGTAACCCATTAAGCCACTTATTTTCCATTTTTACTTCCTTAACCCAAATAGGTTTATCATTTTAGCCAATCAGTGAGACAAGCAACCAATTGAGGAAATCACACCAACAATTGGTGGGGAAGGGGGACATGTCTACACATGAGTCATTGGGCCCCGGTCAGCCAGGGGGTAGTACTACGGTACTGACAACCTCAGACTAAATGTTCTTAATATTTGGGAATCACAGACGTCTTTAAGACATATTCATGAAATTTTGCACATAGTTTCAAAGAGTTCAGAGGGCTTATAAACCCCTAATTCTCAGCCACGGACTGCCCAGAGTTCAGAAGGCTGGATACAGTATTCAAAATTTATATTTTTGTCTAGTACTGAAATTATATAATGTTATGTAAATCCACAAAAAATTTGAATATTTTTCTTTCTTGAAAATAGTTCTTTAAAGTTCTAGGTTGAGAAATGGTAGTATGTTAGCTTGCAAATTCACCATAGAATTTGGATGGATAGTCTCTTGGACAAAACTAAAGTCTCACTTGACCCAATTATCAATGAAACAGCATAAAGAATATGGTTATAAATCCTGGACGGAAGTCCTATGTGAATTTATCTGGTAGCAAAATATTTGCAAGCATTTCAAGTACAAGTAGATTCCTTGATCTTTCAGCATCTTATAATAAACAGAATTGTAGCAGCCCTTATAATTGATAAGAAATGCCTGTGGAATAGTTGTTCTCTGGCCCTTTGTGCAACCTACCTTGATGAGTTATGATAAAAAGATGCTCATCATGGATTTTATTTCCTTTTATTTCACTTTGAAGCTCCTGTGCATTCAAAACTTTTTCCAGCTTTAAAAGGAAAGTAGAAAGACTGATTTTGAAATGGCAGAACTTGGTTTTTTATCAACTTTAGTAAGTAGAATACAATACCCCAAAAAGTCCCCCATATTCCCAAATTCTCAGGAACAAAGCTTTTTTTTTAAACTATGATTGCGTCTGGTCATAAAAGAGTGAGATGAACTTATGATTTTTATTCTTAGAAAAATGATAGTTGGTAGGATTCTATCATAACAAACGCTACGACACTCACTGAGAAGTCCCTCCTAGCTTATGAAAACGAGTGGTAAAACCTGTTAACATGCTCTGCTGGCTGCACACCTGCTGTCATTTATTCCCCCAGAGAGCCTGCTCTGAAAAGATCTGAGCATTTCTTCATCAGTTCTGCTTTAGAAGCCCATCAATGAAAGCGTCAAAGGCTGTAATCATTTCGCTTCTTAAAGGGATAGAAGACAAACTTGCTTAAATGTATCAATACCTCATTCACTAACATCCCTCTTTTATTAACTGATGGTTTCAAGAGAACTCTGAGTGTGCCTTCAACAGTTCTACTCTGTGATGAGGGATTTTAAAAGCTAAGTGTTTTCTGGATGCATTTGCAATTATCTAGGCTGGAGTTTATTGACCAGATCTTATGTATACTAGCTGTGCAACGTCTGCCTGTTAGCTACAATGTATCTTATCATTTATAACCTTCTACCCGGACCCGGGATCCCATGCACTTAACTGAACCTCTGCCGGACGGGAGAATTTTCACCTATGTGTCCCC